CATGGCGGCCAGCACGCGACTGCACGACGCCTCGACTGCGCCTACCATGCGGGGGTGCGAGGGAGGGGCAGTGCGCAGTGAAGATGGGGGGGGGGGGGGGGGCGCCCCTGACTGGGTTTCCGACCGCACTGCGGCGGGAGCTTGCACGATGCGGATTCGAAGTGCCCCCGCTTTCCGGCAGAGCCGCTGCCCCTCAGATGCACAGCCGCTGCATGAGGCCCCGCATCTGGTGACTGGAGGTGTTCGATGGGGGGGCGGAGTCGTGTTCACCCACGACCCCGCTGTCCAGGGGGCGCGCGTGGACGCTTGCTGGCGAGGGGAGGCCGCCTGGGGCATGGTGTCGGGCATGGCCCCTGGCCCGACCCACTCGCCGACAGGGCCGCCTTTACCTGGCGTGGCAGTCGGGCACTCTGAAGGGGGCTCGCTGGCTGCCCCCGCGTTTGGGTCGCCCTGACCCCCTCCTTCTCTTGCATGAATTCGGGATTCTATGCATGACTTGCACCTTTTCATCTTCTGGCACGGGCTCAAACTTTTAAACCCCAAGGAGCGAGCGAGCGAGCGAGCGAGCGAGGGATGGGAGGAGGAGGAGGAGCTATAGCCAGGAAAGGGCCAGGAGGAGGAGGACCAGGACGAGGTCGCGAGGGCCGCAGAGAGGAGAGAGGAGTTTCGAGAGGAGCAGGAAGAGGAGGTCCAGGTCGAGGTCGCGAGGGCGCCGGAGTCGGCGGCAGGACGGGGGGTTCTCGTGGACGGATTGGGGTCCTTTTGGGGCCAGTGCGTCAATTAATGGACAAGAGGAGCCGGAGTCTGAGCGGTGCTTCGAGTTTTCGCCCAGCCCCCTTTCGCGCGGGCAGCTGTCTCACAGCCGCCTAGCCCATAGGCTGCTTGCAAGAATGCGGGCTTTGTCTGGTCGCGAAGGGGGGGCGTCCAGTGCGACGGCCTCAGAGGTGCAGCAAGGAGCCATGCGCTATTCAGGCCCCCAGCATAGGGCCTCGGAATTCGCGGAAGCCAAGACAATGTGCACCGCCTTGGATCTTCTCGCCGAGAAGCGCCATGTCGAGGCGGCAGACCTTTTGGGCCACGGGGTGAAGGCCATCGAAAGGGCCCTCAAAGGACGGGCGTTGGGAGCGAGCCGCGCGGTGCGAGCTGACCCCCCCCCGACGACGCGACGCTCGTGGACCTGGCGGAGAACAAGATGCTAGCGCAGGAGCAGCGCTTGCAGACGCAGCTGAGCCCCACGAAGCAGAACAACTACCAGAACTACGGCAACCACATCTACGGCAACCAGGGGCACGGCAAGGGCAAGAGCGACGACCCGAAAGGCAAGAACGAGGGGGCGAAGGGCAAGGGGGGGCGCAAGGACGGCCGCCGTGATTAGGCGACCCCGCGGGTACCTTTCAAGAACTCTGGGCGCGGCTCTGGCGCCGGGAGTCGGGGCGGTTCTCGGTGCTGGGGATGGGCAGTGCGCGTGCCGGTTGCCGGTTCCACTTGGGGGTTTCGTGCGCTGCGCCTCGCTGGGCGTTTCGCCCGACCGGCGCCAGTCTCTCTTGCTTCTCCCAGTCGAGGAGTTCGTCGGGGTCGGCTTCGCGCGCTTCCAGAGCTCGGGGAAGGAAGGAGTGTGGAGGATGTCAAGTGCTGGCGCCGCTTGCTCGCCCACTCGCTGAACTGCCCGGGGGCCGGATTTCGTGGCCTGCTGCAGAAGGCCGCCTCGCCGGCGCTCGAATCCGGCACAGCGCCGGGCCACGGCTCGGCTCGTTGAGGCGCTGGCGCGGTTTCCGGAGGAGGACGCCACGGGCCCGCCCTCTCGAAGACGCCTTGCGCGAGGCCTGCCATAAGAAAATCGCATACCGGGGGCGAGGCCGCGACTCACCGCAGGGAGCTCTGCGCCGACTGCGTTTTCCCGACTTGGCCGGCTAGGCGCGAGGTTTGCGCGGTGGAGCTCGCGGACTTGCTGGGCGGCGCCCTCCGTCGACGGCGCAAGACCCGCGGGGGCGTTTGCGGCCGCGGGGCGAGCGGCCGGACAACCCCGCGCCTCTAGAGCGCGCGCCCCCCAGCAGAAGTGGGACAAGTTGGCCGACGAGGGCCTCCGCCGAGACCTTTTCCGGGATATCGACGGCACCGAGGTGTTCACGGGCAAGGAAAGGGCGGTTCTCGCCTTCGCAGCGGGGCCATGGGAGCTCATAAGTTCCTGGCATATCAAGGAGGTCCAGGGCGAGACCGTGCATTATTTCCGGCCCATCACGATCATCACTCCGTTGAACCAGCACATGCGCGAGATCGCGGGCGAGGTCGACTGCTTCTCGTGCGTCGCCCGCGCCGCGGTGGTCATTTTGGACGCCGAGGAGGGGGCGGCGGTCGACGGCGGGGGACGTCGTGAGCTGCTTCAACTTGGCGCACGTGCCTCGCTCATGGGGTGGGTTCCTTGCATGCAAAATGCCGGTGTCAGGGTCGGCGTTGGGTCGGCCAGGCGGGCGCGATTTCCTCGTCGGCCTCGCCGCCGCCCCGACGGGGTGGTCAGGCGCTGTCGCCATCGCCCGGGCGGCGGCGCGCAGGCTGGTGTTCGGGGGCGCGAAGGTGGCGCCCAAACCGAGATTGCCCATTTTAAGCCGTTCCCGCGGGGCCCCGATTACTCTTTGGTGCGCGAGTCGGGCGGCTCGGAGTCCGTGGAGCACGCCCGCTTTCTGGGGGGGTTCCGCCAGACGGGCCTGCCCTTAAACGCCGGAAAGTCCACGGTGGGCCCTTATTGCGCCACTTTGCAAAGGGGCGAGTTCGATGGCCGGCGCGGCAGCATAGCTCACAGCCGGAAGAGGGCCAGGCATGTAGTCCGGCTCGCCCTGGCCATGGCGGCCCAGGCGTCTTGGTCCGAACCTCTTCTTCGCCGTTAGGATGGGCTCACTTGCTCCGCTTCTTCGCACCGCAGACCCTTCTTTTCCATCGTGGCGGAGGCGTTCGCGGCCGCGGGCCAGGGCCAGGGGGCCGACGTCTTCAACCAGGTCGCTTTGGACGAGACTCTCCTCTTTGCGGCTCGGGCCCCGCTGGCCGTCGCGAATCTGCGCGCCCCAATGTCGCCGAGGGTCAGTATTTTCGACGGTCTTTTGGTCTTCTGCGCTCCTTCCTTTAGCCGAAGGGGGGGGTGCTTCTAAGCCCCCCTCAGTCTACGTAGCCCAAGAAGGTGGAGGGGAAGGGGGGGGGATTTCTGGCCGACAGGGGAGGTTCAAATGGGGGGGCAGCCCAGCCTTCATTTCCTTGGAAAATGCGGGGGGAGGGGGGGGGGAGCTTCCGAGGGGCGAAAAAAAAGGAGGGGGGGGGCTTCTGGCAGGGCAGGTCCAAGGGAGGGGGGGGGGGGTAGCCAGGGCCCCCCCCCCGTTGGGAGTTCGCCACGGGCGCGCCCTCTTGTGGTGTTTAACCCTCGTTTTGAAGAGATAGTGCCCCGCGTTCTCCTCCGTCCTTCCTTCTCCTCTCCCCCCTTCCTCCCATCATCATCGTCATCATCATCATCACCACCACCATCATCACCATCATCGTCAACATCTTCCTCGTCATCATCATCATCATCATTATCATCACCATCGTCATCATCATCCTCATCGTCACCATCATCATGATCGATCGTTATCAGCATCAACGTCATCGCCGACATCACCACCATCATCGTCATCATCATCGGGATTTGTTCCGTGGGTCGGGGATCCGCGCTTCAAAATGTTTGTTCGGATGTAGGGCTTGCGGTGGGGATCACATCTTACACTATTGTGATTGCCCCTGTGCCCTCTCTTGTCTGTCCTCCCTCATCTTCCTGACAATTACTTGGCCTGGAATGCACAGGATCGCATGCTGCTCTCTCATGAATTTGTCACACCGTCTGCTGCCATGTACTCTACGATGCTAGTTCACGATTTGCTGTTTAGCACGTTCAACTCATGCCGTGCCCTGAAACGGTTCGGGCCTGAATGTACTCTGACCTTATACAAAGCCCGTGTTCGGGTTATCTCGATACGGAAGCCACACATCCGTGTTCTTTTCACCAGATGAGTTGAACAGGAGGTTCTCGGCGCGTGAAAGGGGCTGCGCTATCATCATCGCCGTCATCAACACCATCGTCATCAGCATCGGCACGCCCCTCACACGCTTCATGGCTCCATAGGGAGCTCCACCGAAGGCCCCAGTGGCAGGTTCGCATGCAGTTCCACTTCAATTTCGGCACACCCATCACAAGTTTCGAGGCCCCGTAGGGAGCTCCATTGAAGGCCCCAGTGGCAAAGTTCGCATGCAGTTCCACCACAATGTCGGCGCACCCCTCACACGGTTCGCGGTCCCATAGGGAGCTCCACGGAAGGCTTTTGTGGCAAAACTCGCATGCAGTTCCACCCCGATTTCGGCGCGCCCTTCGCACGTTTCGTGGCCCCACAGGGAGCTCCACCGAAGGCCCCAGTGGCAAAGTTCGCATGCAGTTCCACACTCCTTTCGGCACGCCCATCACAAGTTTCGTGGCCCCGTAGGGAGCTCCACTGAAGGCCCCAGTGGCAAAGTTCGCATGCAGTTCCACCCCCCCTTCAGATCACCCATCACAAGTTTCGTTGCCCCATAGGGAACTCCACCGAAGGCCCCAGTGGCAAAGTTTGCATGCGGTTCCACCCCCCGTTCGGCGCACCCCTCACACGGTTCGCGGCCCCAGAAGGAGCTCCACTGGAGCCTCCAGGAACAGCGCCCGAATGCGGTTCCACCTCCGATTTCCGAGAATCCCTCACACGTGTCGTGGCCCCATGGGGAGCTCCACCAAATGCCCCAGTGGCAGCGCCCGCATGGCAATATTCGCAACGAAGGTACCCACAACTGCATATGGTTTGGCCTTTCCAACTGCACATGGTTTGGCCCTTCGCCAGGCTTATTTGTTTTACCCCTCTCCGGCCTCTTTCCCCTCCTCCCCCTTCTCGGGTCACAGTGACTTGTTCTACGGTGAATTGCGTGTTGGCGCCACGAAATCACACTCCTCCCCGCGAGAGGTGGCAGTGAAGGTGCTGAGGCCCAACTGCGAGAGCGTACTCCGCGCGGACGTGGCGAACCTGAAAGTCTTTGCTAGGGCGCTGAAGGCACTCGGGGGGGGTGGGGTATTGGGGAGGGGCAACAGAAGGACGAGGAGTAGCAGGGGGAGGAGGAGGACGACGACGAGGGCAGAGGTTCCCCGATGGTCCTGGAGGCCCAAAAGGTGCGAACAAGGTCCAACAACCTCTAGCCTCGAGGAGCAAGATGAGGAGGAGGAGGACGAGGAGGACGAGGAGGAGGACGAGGAGGAGAATGAGGAGGAGGAGGAGGAGGAGGAGGAGGAGGAGGAGGAGGAGGGGGAGGAGGAGCCCTTCCGTTCAGCCCTCGGCGAGTCACGCTCACAGGCGCCTCCAGGGGTGGGCGACGTGGCGGGCCTGTCTGCTCAAAAGCCTGTAGAAGTTTCCAGCGACCCGCACCATATTCAAAACATGTACATAAGTGTTCATTCTCGAGGGGGCAGGCGGAGGAGGAGGAGGAGGAGGAGGAGGAGGAGGAGGAGGAGGAGGAGGAGGAGGAGAGGGAAAGGAGGAGAGGGAAATGAGGCGGAAGGGAGGGAGAAGAGACAGGATGAGGAAAGGTCTGGATTGGAGGCGGATTGGAACGCTTCGTTCATTGCCGCCGCCGCCGACAGCCGAGTAGCCGCCAGGGCCGGCTGCCAGTGGACTACTACCCGGTGTTTTGCGAGCTGGAGAGGGCGCTTGCGGGGGAGACTCGCATGCGGGAGGGGAGCAGGCGGAGGAGGAGGAGGAGGAGGATGAGGCGGAGGCGGAGGAGGACGGAGGAGGAGGGAGGAGGAGGAGGGGGAGGAGGAGGAGGAGGAGGAGGAGGAGGAGGAGGAGGAGGAGGAGGAAATGTTCGAGTTGTAAAGCATTCGTTCTATACCGCGCGCGAGCGTGTCTTCGTGTGCTGGATGTGTCGTTCGGGGAAGCCGACGGCGAGGTCCAGTGGAAGTAGAGTTCCATGAACATCGCGAGTCGGCTTCGTGCTCATCCAGGGCCTGATCGACCGCGGGACGGGACCTGACAGGGGGCGGGACTCGATCCCACAATATTTTGTAAGGGCGGGATTTAGTTGATCTTACGGCCAAACAGTGAAGTATACAGTGCACTGCCCCTTTTGGGGGGGGGCAAGGTTCCATTCTCCACCCGTGCACGCTATACGGGTTGTGTTGAAAACGGACCTGTGCGCTAAAAGTTTTTATGTTGGGGGCCTTTCTACCTTGCCGCTTGGATGTGCATGCCTGTATAGCGCCCTTGTCCTAGTGCACTCGATATACGCTTCCTTATTTCTTGCTCACCATTCCCTTCCGTCTCCTACCCCCCTTCTCCGAGTGACATGCGCGTATGGCCCAGAGAGGGGGGGCAACTCCATAACTCCATACGCGTCATCCTCCTTCTCCTCGCTATTCCACTCCGTCCCCTCCTCCGCCCCTCGTCCGAGTGCCATTTGGGGGTGCGGACTACACGCGTAATCTCGCAATCTACAATCTCAGAACGCTTCTCCAGGACACGAACAATTCCCGTGTCGCTTAGCGAGACTGGAATTGTTCGTGCCGTAGGCTCATTGCTGTAGTACAGCAGTGAGCCTTCGCCAGGAGTCTGGTGGGGATCGATTGACTCATCATCATCATCATCATCATCATCATCATCATCATCATCATCATCATCATCATCATCAGCAGCAGCATCAGCATCAGCATCAGCATCAGCATCAGCATCAGCATCATCATCATAGCCGAGCCGGAGCAATATTGCTCGTTGTCTTGGCGACTCATGTGCATCACCAGGTCAAGGCAGTGAAGAAGGCTTGGCCCAGCGCTACGCGACGTGCAGCATGATGGCGTCCATGCAGCAGCCCGTCACTCCTTTCTCATGCAGGCTATTGGTGGACGAACCACATTATAGATACGGCCGATCATCATTATCAGCATAATCCTCATCATAATTATCATCAGAGTCATCATCATCGTCACCATCATCAGTATCATCATCCTCGTCATCATCCTCATCTTCACCACCATCATCATCATCATCAGCATCATCACCATCACCATCACTATCATCATCATCACCCTTTCCACCATCATCATCATCGTCATCATCATCGTCATTACTACTGTGCTTGTTACTGCCAGTGTTATGCCTATTAGTATGATTATGATTACGCTTCGAAGTACCATCATAATTTTTGATAGTGGCATCATCATTGGCATCATCATCATCAGCAGCATCATCATCATCACTATCACCATTATCATAATCACCATCAGCATCATCGTCATCTTCATCATCACTCTCATCATGAGCATGCTGATGGTCACAGTCACCATCGCGAAGATGAACAGCAAGGTTATACCATCATGGTAGGTACTGGCATTATGAAAAACACCACACTCGTGACGAGTGTGGTGTTTTTCATAATGCCAATACCTACCATGATGACTCGTCACCATTACAATGACGGCCAATACCTGACCATGGACGCGATGAAGACGGCCATGGCGGCCTCCGTCGAGTATGGGCCGGATGCCACGGCAATGCACGCGCGTCACCTAAAACGTGCCCGGTCCGCCAGCCCCCGCTTGTCGGGGGTGCAAAGCGTGTGAGTTGATTGGTTGTCCTCTCCCCCTTCCCCCCTCCCCTGGGGTTTGAATTTCGATTAGAGAGGGATGGGGCGGCCACCCAAGGGGTGGAGGGCTTCAATTTTGTCACTCCGTGGCCTCCAAGATGCTTCAGATTTCGTCTAAGCTTGGTCAAGCTGAGCTCCAACACGCCAAGGAGGCTGCAAGAACAAACAGAAAACTTCAAGACGGTCCACGAAGCCTCCAAGACGTCCCCAGAAAGCTCCAAGAGTCCCCCCAAGTGGGCCCCAAGAGACCAACGTCGCCCCAATTCGACAGGAAGACGTACATGTTTGGCTTATCCACCCTTTGGGTGTCAACAGCGCTCAAAGTGGCTCAAGAGGCCCCAATATCGATCCAGGACGGCCTGCGAGGTCCCTGGGAGGGCCGCAAGACTGCCCAAGAGAGCCCCAATGCGGCCCCAGAGGCGCCCAAGACGGCCCAAGAGGGCCTCCCCCAGTTCGGGCCCTCCGCCCCAAGAGGACCCTGAGACCGCCAGCAGGCGTCCAATAGACCCCCAAGAGGCTCCAAGAGGCCCCAAAGCTACCCCAACATGCCACTCAAGCGGTTCACAAGAGGCAAAGGCCTCACCCGTGGACTCCCTTTCTCCTCTGGGGGGGCGGTGGAATGGCGTAAGCCGCTTGAATCTGATCTGCCCCGCGCGACGCTCATTTCAAAATCCAACTTCACCGCAGTAGTGAAGCAGCGATCGGTGGAGCAGTGGTCGGGGTAGTCCGTGGTGGGTCCGCATCGCCACCCTCCCATACTGTAACGTTTCCCCGGCTTCTCGTCCTGCTGCTTCTTTGTGACATCGATGTGCCCTCCGTCTCCCCCTCCTCAGTTCATTCTCTTTTCCTACCCCCGTCATACGCGAAAGTGATGGACCTTCGACGTCGCATTTGTTCGATCCATGAGCCCCCCCCCCTGGCTGATCCGCTTTCCACCGCAGGTCTCTTTTTGATTGCTCTGGAGCCCAGGCCTTGGAGGCCGAAATTGGGAAGGTGGAGCGCTAGGATTGAACGAGCTCGGGACGTCGGAGGGTTGGCCGTAAGCAGCGGGGCCGACTGCGTGGACATTGGCGCGTCAGGCGATCGCTGATAGTCGCTCGCGAACGAGCGTTCTCTTCTCAACGTGGTTCGCCGTTCTGGCAGCCTGCATGGCCGTCACGTAAGGCAGCCGTGTCGGTGCGCCGAAAGCATGTACTTTCCCACCGCATTCAGCGCCGTGTTTTTGTTCGCAACGAGGACCCCAGAGGTCTTCGTGATCGGGACTGGCTTTATATCCCGATGCATTTTTTTGGACGGACGGTGCTTGAACACGGTGAGCGCGCCCCCCTCCCCGGAGGCCGAACATAGACAAATTCCCGGTTGTTCTTTGAACGGCGCGAGGGGGGGTTGGCCTTCGTCGTTCGTCTGCCGGATAGGAGCCGAGGAGGGGGCACGTGCCCGCTAACTTCAGCCGAGCCGCAGGAGCTTGACTTCCTGAACGAGGCCCAGAGCGCCCAGAAGGCTCTCCGAGCCACAGCCTCTTTTTGGGGGGCGCCAGCTACACACGAACACCGGACCGGCCCTTGCCAGGTTCATCCCGGACCCAGGAGAGCATACACACATACCTAAATATAAATGGGGAGGGGGGCCTGGGGGCCCCGAGGAGCCCTGAGTTCAGCACCTTGCCTCTGGCCCCTCCCCTGGGCGGCTCTTAGCCCTCTATGGTACGTGCGGCAGGCTTTCACATTGCTCCCAGGCGGGGCCCGAGGTCGCCAACATATCGTTCCAACGCGCCCAAGATGGCCTCAAGACGGCCCAGGAGGGCCCCAAGACGCCCCCAAGAGGACTTCCATGAGGGCCTCAATGGGCACGATTTGCCGCATTCCCTTCGGAAGAGGCTTCTGGGGTATAAAAGAACGTTGCCGAGGAACCCCACATACTGAATATAAATATTACGCGTTTGTTTATCATTGCCATATCTGCGCAATTCTGAGTTCTGAACCCTCGACGCGAATGTTTCTTTTCATGCCTTCCATCAAGCCACTGCTTGAACCTTCTCCCCCTTCCCCGCCTTTTATTCTCCATCGGGGAAATTTTCGAGGTGGTCACCGAGGGCCGTTTCCAGGGGCGGCAACCAGCAATGAGGTAATGCACAACGATATGCCACATCGCGGTCAACGTGGGAAGAGGTCGAGAGCTGCTGGGGCGGTGGAATGATGTTGGAAGGTGCCACGCCTGCCACGCTGTGTCACATACGGGACACTTCGACAGAAAACCAGAACCGTGGCCTCGAGCGCCCAACTCGAATGCACTGCGAGCCTGCAACACATGGCGCCCCCACCCCCAGCGCACCCCTTGTAGCGTCGAGGAAATGCCACGCCCTGCGAGCCTGCAGCGCGCAGCGCCCCCACCCCCAGCGCACCCCCTGTGTCGTCGAGGAAATGCCACGCCTGCCATGCCCTGGGAGCTTGCAGCGCATAGCGGGAGCATGCAACGCGTAGCGCCCCCACCCCCAGCGCAACCCTTGTGGCGCCGAGGAAATGCCATGCCTGCGAATCCTGGGCGACCGTGCGCGTACGTCTTGGGTGTATGATGCAGTGCGCTTACCACGCCTGCCACGCCCTGCGAGTCTTGAGCGCATGTGTTTTGCGTGTGTGTTTGCGTGCGGCTGTATGGAGAACGCGTGTCTCACGTGCGTGCCGTGCATGTTGCGCGCGGGTGAGGCGAGGAATCGGAGGAGAGGGAGAGGAGGAGAGGGAGGAGACGCGGGTGCGACGCGACAGGGAAGAACATTACGCCACCGAAAACCTCACTTACTTCGTTATGGCTCTTGTCTTAGCAGACGTGCAACAGACGTGGATGATGCTAGGTGATCAAGAAAGTGCCGCGCCTGCTGTGCTGTGGACAACCAGGGCGGATAGCGCCTCCACCCCAAGCGCACCCCCTTCGGAGCCGAGGACATGCCACGCCTGCCATGCCTTGCGAGCCTGCAACGCGTAGCGCCCCCACCCCCAGCGCACCCCCTGTGCCGTCGGGGAAATGCCACGCCCTGCGAGTCTGCCCATGTGGCGTCGAGGAAATGCCACGCCTGCCATACCTTGCGAGCCATAGCGTCGCCACCCCCAGCGCACCCCATTTGGAGCCGAGGACATGCCACGCCTACTATGCCTTACGAGCCTGCAACGCGTAGCGCCCCCATCCCCAGCGCACCCCGTGTGACGTCGAGGACATGCCACGCCTGCCACGCCCTGCGAGCCTGCAACGCGTAGCGGGAGCATGCACGGCATCCCCCCTTCCCCAGCGCACCCCCTGTGGCGTCGAGGAAATGCCTCGCTTGCCATGCTTTGCGAGCCTGCAACGCATAGCGCCCCCACCCCCATCGCACCCCCTTATAGTGCCGAAAAAGTGCCACGTCTGCCGCGCCCTGCGAGCCTGGATCGAGGCCTCGCTCAGGGACCACCCCCTGCGCACCCCCTCTGGTGTCGAAGACGTGCCACGCTTGCCGTGCCTTGCGTCTGTGTCTGTGTCTCTGTTGTGATGTGTAAGTGTCTGATGTGTGATGATGTGTGTGCGGCCGTGTCTGTGTGTGTGGTTGTGTGTATATGTGCGTATGTGTGTCTGTGTGCCTGTGTGTCTGTAGGGAAGGACGGAAGAGCAGGGGAGGAGGGAGGTGAGTGAGGGAGGAGACGCGGATGCGACGCGGCAGGGATGGAAACCATAACCCCACGAAACATGCGGGGAACAAAAACCAAATCAAACACGTGTGGAAGCAAGACTATTCGTCTCTGGATCTTTCAGAGCATCCAAGACCGCCTTCGAGGCATTTAAGATCGCCCCACGACGACCCAAGAGGCCCCCTGCATGGTCCCAAGACAGCCCAAGAGAGCTCCAAAAGGGCCCACGAGGCCCCAAAAACAGCCCATGAAGGCCCCCGGACGGCCCCAAGCGGGGCCCAAAAGGGGGAACTCGAACCGACAATTTGATCCTTCCGCCCCAAAAGGCCCCCAAGAGAGCCCGAGCGGCCCACTAGAGGCCCCACGAGGCCCTCAAGCGGCCCACAAAGAGGCCCCCAAACGGCCCCGAAGAGGCCTCCAAAACTTCCCCCAAGAGGCCCCCGAGAGGCCCCCCACGATACCCAAACGAACTTCCAAGAGGCCTCTTACCTACAACCCAGGCATTGTGGCGGGATGGGCCGAAGACCACTATCCGCCGCCCCCTGCTTGCAGGGGTGCACGGCGTGCTGGATGTTTCAGGTTTTGGTTTTGGTTCTTTTTCTAAAAGAACTCCCCAGTGGGCTTCGGCCCGTCCCGCCGGCCACCCGTAAATCTCATAAAACCCATCTGTCAATGCCCAAAAACGGCCGTTTCGCTCGGGTCGCGAAGATGGCCCAAGATGGCCTCCAAGTCCGCCCGAGATGGTCCAAGACGGCCTCCAAAACGGCCCAAGAGAGTCCAAGACGGCCCAAGACGGCCCAAGAGGCCCCCCAGAGGCCTCCCAGACGGCCCAAGAGGCCTCCAAGAGGTCCTCCAGGAGAGTCCGAAGAGGCCAAAATCATTGATTTTCCCTTGGTGTTTGAAGGATTTTGGCATTTGCGCCTTTTCGGCTCTCCGACGGCTCAAGACGGCCCAAGAAGCCCCCAAGATCGCCCAAGAGGCCCCCAAGAGAGCCCCATGATGGCCCAAGTGGCCTCCAAGATGGCCCCTAGAGGGCCCCAAGAGGGCCCAAGAGGCCTCCAACACGCCCAAGATGGCCTCCCAGACGCCCAAGATGGCCTCCAAGACGGCCCTGGAGCATTCCAAGCGGGCCCCAAGTCGGCCCATAGAGGCCCCCCAAACGGCTTCCGACGGCTTCAGACGTGCCAGGAACCCACCAAGATGGCCGAAGTTGGCTCGAAGCTGGCCCGAGACGGCCCAAAAAGCCCCAAAGATCGCCCAAAGCTTGCCCAAGAGGCCTCCAAGACGGCCAAGATGACCTTCAAGATGCCCACGTGTTCCCCGAAGGCTTTCCAAACCGATTCGGGGAACACGTGGTCCGATAGCTTGGCAGGTCTGGCCTCAACGTTCGGCCACATAGGCGCTTCCAAAAAGGCAGGGGGCGGCGGTGATTCGCCGTAGGCGTCTTCGATAGACGGTCCAAGACTCCCAGGACGGCCTCCAGACGGCCCAAGAGGCCCGAAAGATGCCCGAGAGACCTCCAAGGAGTCTCCCAAGAAAGCTCGAAGAGGCCAACAAGCATTGATTTGCCTCTGGTGTTTGAGCAATTTTTGCGTTTTCCACCTGTTCCGCTTCCCGACGCTGCAAGACGCCCCAAGAGGCTCCGAGGATCGCCCCAAGACGGCCCAATTGGCTTCAAGATTGCTTCAAAACGGCGCCAAAACGGCCGAAGAGATATTCAAGACGGCCCGAGGGCCCAACCGTGGCCCAGGATCGGGAACGTGAACCGAGAACCCGAGATCTTCGCCCCAGGAGACACCCAGGAGGCCTCAAGAGGGCCCCAAGAAGCACCAAAGAGACCCAAATGAGACACAAGAGAGGTCCCGAGGGCATTTGAAAAAATGAATTCCAACATGTTCCATGTTTCTCAAGTTAGCCCGGCAGTTGGGAAATATCAGATTTCCTCTTCGTCCTCTTCCTCCTCCTGCTCCTCCTCCTCCTCCTCGTCCTGTTCCTACTCCTCTGCGGCCTTCTCCACTCTCTCCTCCTCCTCCTCTTCCTCCTCCTCCGTCGCCATTTTGGCTCAAGTCAACATGTCGCCCTGCGGCCGCATGGAGACCTCTGGGGCCGAGGACAGTCCCCAAGTTTTTGGCGCCACTCCAGGGGCCACGCGCCAGCCCGACTCTTTCCATACTTAAGTCCTGCGCAGTTGCGGGCACTCCATATTCAAAGGCCAGCCTGGCGCGCGTCGCTGCTGGCATCCATACCCTGATCATTCTGATCGCCCTCAGGCTGGTGTCGATCCAAGCGCTGGCACCGCTGCTGTACATCCACCCTGGTGCTCCACCTCGGACACGACGCGCTGGTTTCGACTCGGACCGGATAGTCGCTGGCAGCAGACACAACAGCAACTCCTTCACGCAGACACAATGCCTGCATCCGGCAGCAGTTCGCCCTCCGACGGTGCTCGAAGACCTAACCCTCATCCCCGTGATCGTAGACGGCAGGACACCAGTCACTCCAAGCGCAGGAGCGGAGGTGGCCGCAGTGGATTTACACGGGCATCCCGAAATCGGCGACACCGCGACCGACGGGACAGAGAGAGACGGGATGACAACAGAGAGCTCGATCGTGGACATGAAGGACATCGTGGTGCAGACCGGGCACCTCCGCGAACATCAGGACCTTCAGCTCCACGTCCAGACGCTCTTGCAGGACGAGACCCCTTGAGAGCTGCATCGGCTGGACAACAACAACACGCAGTAGCCAGCGGCGGACCTGTTTGGCCTCACGGACCTGAGCACATTCTTCTCTCACCACGTGCCAGACGTCAAGGTTCAGAAGATTTTGACATGTTCCTACGCTCCC